TGGGATGTATCATGATTCAACCAAATTTAAGGAATTTTTGAATTAGTTTTTAACACTATGAGATTTGTGTAAAATTTTCAGTTGTAATTACTTTGAAAACTAATGGACCTTACTACATGAACTAACCTAATTGTTTTCCAAAAGAAGTTTGGGCCGTTTCCAATCACCAAATAAGCCCAAAGCAATATCAAAAGTAGGGGCGTACAAAATCGAACCGAAAATCGAACCAAACCACAAATCGAGTCAAATCGGGAAAAAAACCCGACTAGTGGTTTGGTTTGACTTGGTTTGGTATTGGAAAAAAACCCCGACTATATTTGGGTTGGGTTGGTTTTAACTAAAAGAAACCAACTCGAGACCAAACCAACCCAACATTATATATGTAATTTTAAAATTTTATTTTATACATAAAAATATTTACTTTGATATAATTTTAAAATATTTCTTATACTATTTCATAGTTTTTATCTTTTAATATATTATTTCAAGTTTAAAACTTAGAATTCAGAATGGTCCAATAAAGATTATAGTACATAGATGTTGATAATTATAATAAAACTTAAATCAAAATCAAATTAATACTAATGCAAAACAAAAATCAATTCAACACTAAGAATGACAATAATATTGAATATTTGTTCTTTAGTTTTACATTGGTTTAGACAATTAAAATGCATAATCTAATTTTAATTTTTCTTAAATATTTAGTAATGTAACTAATACTTATTAAACTTATTTTAGCATGATTTAGTACTTTTAAATTATGACCATTTTCATTATGACTTTGCAATATTTATTTTATATGATGATTTTATTATTATTTTTTATTGAATATTTTTGTGTCATCAGTACTCATCTCATATTTTGTGTTATTTTTTTTTCAGAAACACCTTAGATAATTGTATTTTGGTTGGACTAAAGAAATATTTGGAGCACAAGTTAATTATATGTTTGTATGCAAACTTTACCGAAAAAACCCAAAAATCTGAAAAAATCCAAGGTTTGTTAGTTTGGTTTGATTTATAAATTTAAAAATTCGACACAATGGTTTGGTTTGGTAGTTGAAAAACCCGAACCAACCCGAGGTTGAAAAACCCAACAAATTCGAATTTTATTAGTTTGGTTTGGTTTATAAATTTAAAATTTTCACACAAATGGTTTGGTTTGATATTTGAAAAACCCGAACCAACCCGGTCATGTACACCCCTAATCAAAACCAATGGGAACCATTATTTTGACAAGAAATTTTTTCCATATAATCAGAGGGATTGACATGTAAGTATACTTGAAAGAAAATTAATTAAATTAATTTTTGAATTAACAAAGAATTGAAGTAAAGAAGAATTAATGAAAAAGACAATATAAAACAATAAAAAAGAGTTGAAGCTATTCCAGCAAAGAAAGCAAAAACGCAAGATTCAAACTTAGTATATACTCTATTTTTTTTTATACGTATACATATATACATATAAAGTTTTATCTGAGGTCTCTGGGTGTCGTATCCCCAATCTCATACATAAATCCGCCCCTAGTTGGGACTGGGAGTGGGGTTCGGGAGGTAGTTATGAGTGTGATGGTCAAGACTCGAGAGGAATATTGGTTGAGCGAGGAGGAGACAATGAACTTGAAATGTCACTTATGATTATGTAATTTGTTTTCTCTATTTCATAACATTTTCCTCATCTTAAACAATTTATTTTTTTCAAAATGATACTTTTTACAGCATTTTAATCTATCAAACATAAAAAAAAAAAATTAACAAATCATAAAATATTTTGCACCACACGTTCATAGTGTAAAGATCTTTTATCATTAACGTATTTTAGCAGGTTATTTATTTTTCTTAGGTAATAAAATACAGCTAAGGTTTGTTGCATGTCACTTTATTTTATTAATATTATAATTAAAATAGAACTATTTTTTTTTATAAAATTGACAAGGCACAGAAGTCAAAAGTATTACCAAAAATCTTTATATTAAAGTTATAATCCATTTTATTCCCCTTTATCCGACCAATCTAATTAGCAACATATCTTCTTAAGATCTCATTGCTTAATTTCCATCAAAGTGTTTTTCCTGTGGGAATCTTCTATGAATAAGGTATACATTTTATTTATTTCTTCACTTTATAAATAAACAATTTAAATTTGAGTTAGGAAATGAAGAATTTTTTAATTTAAATTGTTCTCCTGTAACGTAAATTCAAATTAGTTGGATTAATAAATATTGGATACTATATTAATCTATTTTAGGATCATTATTTAAGTCATAACAAAATTATTAGAATTTTCTTGTATATACGTTTAGCTACTTAGAAAATAACTTCTGACATACGAGCCTGAAATAGCATAAATGTGTGTTATTAGTGTTTAAATTATCAATCGTTATCTTTGTTAATGTTTTCAAGCTTAATTAATATATAATATAATACCTACTTGATTTAAACTTACTTTTTATAAGCTAAATCATAACCAACTTTTTCGAGCAGTATTCTTCAATTGTTTTAATTTGAAGATGGTCTGCCTTGGATACTAGTTAAATATTTACTAAAAACATTATATTCATTTATTTTTCAATCTAATTTGATGCTCTTAAAAGATTATTTTGTAGAATGGTTTTTGAGGAAAATTAGAAAATTATTGGTTGGCAGGAAAGAAATAATGGAGAAAATAGCTTTATTATGGTGGCAAATATTGCAATCATTTCAATTTGGTGCATAATTAAATTTGAAAATTTTGGCTAATTATTGATAATTATTATGTTCCATTCTGTTAAAATGTCACCAAATTGACCTTAATAAAGGTGTAGGGTTTAAAGTTTCTAAAGTTAAATGTTATCATGGAAACTTTTATGGTGATTAGACTCACCATCTAATATATGATTTACACATATGTTTGGATGGTCGTTAATGTAGGCTAATGTATCGTATTGTATTATATTCTTTTGATGAATATAGTTTTGAATAGATTGTATTATATTGTTTTCTATCGTTATATAATACTCTTCATACATCAACAATTTAAAGAATAGAATTACCAAACAAAATACGATACGAAGTAAAACAGTTATAAAAAATATGATAAATGATAAAATATGAAGTTTTTGGCTAAAATCATCCCTAAAGTATGACCTACACCTAAAGTACATCCTTGTGTTATATAAGTGAACAAAAAACATCTTTGAACTATACAAAAAGTTGCAAGATTCATCTTTCTGTCTATTTTTATTTTAAGAAACTCAAGCCACCAACAAAAAATGTGCCAAGTCGAATGAATATATGTACACATGGTTAAGCTAATCAAGTTAGGTGATTTTTTTAATTTTTAGAAATTGAGGGTTTAAATCATATTTAGACAAAATTTATTCAAATTCTAAATATTCTTTGTAAAAATATGGCAAAATACTACTCCAACTTCAAAATTTTCAAATAAAGTAATTTTTTTTTTTATTTTCATAACTAAACACCTACGTAATTTCACTAAATTTCTAGCATTTTTGTACATTGTATAAAATGTGAATTGTATTGTATTCATAGTATATATACGCCCTAAATATTTTATTAAAGAAAATCTCTTATAAATAGTTAGACGTAATATTTTTGAAATGATTTCTTTTACATAATCTTTCTAACCATCGAAACGTACTGTATAAATATTTCAAAACTTATGTATTGTTGCAAGTCAATTTACTTGATGATGCAGAAAAACATATAAACTAACAACACACAAAATTTAAATTCTGAGAATGAAAGATTCATTTCCTATCCATATCCTTATCCTTTTTAGGTAACTTTGATCTTCTCGTCGTGGCCATGACGTGACCAAATTAAAAATTATTTTGTTTATTGGTTCAATTAGTTTCTTAACAAAAATAGACTGAAGGATGATTCTTGTTATTTTTTGGATAGTATAAGGATGTTTTTTGCTCACTTAGATAATATAATGATGTACATTAGATTTGAGTCATAGTTAAGGGGTGATTTTAATCAAAAACTCATAAAATATGATTATAATATAACCAGCAAAAACAAATGAGAGAACAGAGTAACAACGTGATTATACCCAATTAGTTATTACATACAATGGGATTTTTCGCCTTTACACATACAATAATAAATTTTAATGATATAATATAATAAAATTTTAGTAATAATCAAAATAAATATTATATTTAAATTAACAACGCAATCCATGATTTTCTTCAAGTCAACTCTCCAAAAAGATATCATTTGTCACTTTTTTAGTCGATATTGATCTACATATGAATTAGATAGGGTAAATTTTTTGCAACAACGTGATTATTTGATTGATTTAGGTTATGAACTATTTTTGACTGAGCATATCATACATTCAATTTTTTTAAATAAAATACTCTTATTTCAAAAAGAATCTTATAAGTTCGTTAAAAAATAATTAAATTTTTCTAAATTTCAAAACAATTTAATTCAAACTTCTGATTTTCTTTTCTCCTTCATAAATCGTAACAATTTTTTATAACTACACCAAACGTTACGATATGTCTAAATCATAGGTTTTAAAAAAAATTATTATCACACAAATATTATGATATATTATAAGTTCAAAAATCATAAATTTTATGTTTAGTTAAATTACTTCACATAAATCAAAATTACGAGTAAGTTACAACTTTCTAAAAGACAAATTGACAAGTTGATAGGTCAGTTTCACCTTAGCTGCCTACTACTTTTATTTGTGCATTATATTATATGTTAAAAGTAACAAAAGGACTAATTATTCCCAAACTTTACAAAATATATAAATTTGTATACCGCTCTTTTATTCAAAACTTGAATGTCCTAGAAAACGGTCCTTGTATAAGAAAAAATTGCTCATTAAGTTTAAAATTATAATATTTGTATGTATGACAAATATTGAAACTTTTCAAAAGAGAATAAGATTAAAAAAAAAGTTGCATGGTTCACTTGATGAGAAAAATATTCAAATTTAGGTTAATTTAAGCCATTGATGTTTTGTCCTATAATGACGAGTCAGGTTATCAACACGAATTGTGGTAAGACAGATAGAATTTCATTTTTAATTAAAAATTTCGAATTCGAGTTTTAAATATTAGATTTTTTTAATAGAAAGTCATTCTTTTTCTTTCTTCGTTTTATCAAGACAAATGAATTGATTCGTTTCATCCTTCTATCTATGTAATTTTGTGTCTCCTTTATGATCATGTTGAGCAAAAATCAGGTGTTTTGTTGTGTGAGACTGATAGAAATAAAGGATCGAGACAATCATTATGGTATTTTCCCTAGTGTTTTTCTCTTTAGCGAGTTGTAGGTGATATAGATATGAATCTCAATTCAATTAGTATTGAAAAGGAAGAATCATATGTCGAACTAAAAGTCACTTGAATGATCTTTAATAGCTCAGTGAATTGAAAATTTAATCTTTCACCTCATTGATTAGCGTCTGATTCCTCATTTTGTAATTCTCTCCCTCATCTATCCTTCTCCGCCCTCTATATAATCATAAAAACAAACAAACAAACTCAAGTTCACTAAAATGAAAAGACTAGAAAAAGGAAAAGAAAACTCTTTCACCTCATGTCCACTCTTTTTTTAACCCACTTTGCCTTTACTTGATTCCATTTGCTATGGGAGTGGAGAAAAAGAACTTCAATCATTTCCATAAAACCACCCCTCATATGCTCATGCACCATCTTTAATCATTTCACACAACTTTTCTTTTCCTCTCTCTCCCAAAACAAAAAAGAAATCATAGTGATAAGATTAACTCGATCAGAAACGAATACAGAATTTAAAGTTGTTTTATCACGTTAAATCAATGAATGTAGAGTAACATTTATATACTCTTTTATCACTTGACTATTATCAATCATGCCTTCTCATTTAATTTAAAATTATTATAACTAAGGGACCATTTTTATTATTTTCTCATCCTCAACATTGTCTTCTCCCTATCTTATAATTTCTTACATATAAATGGAAAGACAAAACAAAAAAGATAATGTACACAAATTCAACTTTATTGTACTGTTTTCTTTCAAAAAATTCAAACAATCTAATCTACATACTGTCCACAAATTCAACTTTACTTTTTGTACTCTTTTGTTATTTATATATGATATACATGAATATATAACTTTAATAACTAAATTATCGTTAATTATACACATTTGTCTTCTTAATTTATCACTTAACTAAAAAAATAGGTGTAAATTATCATAATGAATTTGAAATTACGTGATCTTAAATTTTTTATTTCACTTGTTTCATGGATATAACTTTAAGTTTAACAAGTTTTGTTCTATAAGCAAAAAAATTTAATTTTGACCTTGAAAGTTCACCGTGAGGTAATCGAGAATTCAAAAATTCATGATCAGTCATTTTTAACATCGTGGAGTAATTTCTAAAATAGATTACAATAATAACATATCAATATAATTCCACAAGCTGAGACTGTAAAATGTGAATTGTATCCAAACCTTATCTCTATTTTGTGATGGTAGAAAAGTTGTTTCCGATAGACGCTCGACTCTGATAAAGCAAATTGAAACATATGTGAAGAGAAAATAGAGTAGTAAAAGAATTATTTTTAAAAATAGTAGAAAAATAAACCGTAATAACAATAGCTAATACAATAATTAAAACAAAAGATCAGGAATAAATTAATATAATTTAATATAAATATCGGGTACGAATAAGTTTTTACCTGCGATCATCATCTACACTATGCACAAATTCAACTCTTTTGTTCCTTAAATTCAACTTGTGTTTTTTTGTTCTCTTCCTAACTTCCCGCGCTTTATGCCTTAAACCCAAAAAAATGAACCGTTTTTTCTCCTCCATTCTCCTCCTCACACTTCTCATCTCCGCCGTGACCGCCACCGGCGACGGCAACGACACCGCCGCACTCCTCCTCTTTCAGTCCCAAACTGACATCCACGGCACTCTCCTTCACAATTGGACACTTCCGTTGAACTCCACCACCGCTTGCAGAGCTCAATGGCTTGGTATAAAATGCATAAACAACCGTGTCTCCGCCGTAATCCTCCCGTCGTTCAATCTCCGGGGACCCATTACCGCTCTCTCTTCTTTACCTTTACTCCGCCTTCTCGACCTCCGTAACAATCGCCTTAACGGAACCCTCACACCCATTACCCAATGTACTAATCTTAAGCTCATTTACCTCTCCGGCAACGATTTCTCCGGCGAAATTCCGCCGGAAATTTCTTCTCTCCGTCGTCTCCTCCGCCTTGACGTTTCAAATAACAACCTAGAAGGCTCAATTCCGACCCAGATTGCGAATTTGACCCGATTACTCACCCTTCGTTTACAGAACAATGAACTTTCTGGAACAATCCCAAAATCCCTAAATTCTCTTCAAAATCTTAAAGAATTGAACTTTTCGAATAATGAGCTTTATGGGTCTGTTCCAAATGGTTTATATAATCATTTTGGTGAAAATAGCTTTGATGGAAATGAGGGTTTATGTGGAATTGGGAATTTACCTCAATGTTCATATACAGGGGAAATAGTTCCTTCAAACCCTAGCTCTTTGCCTACAACCTCCACTGCAACAATCGAAGAACCCCACGAAAAATCGCGAAAAGGGTTGAGTAGAGGAGGGGTAGTAGCAATAGTGATGGTGAATGTGGTGGCATTGTTAGTTGTAGTGTCATTTATGGTAGCATATTACTGTGGGAAGTATTCAAGAACTCAGAGTTTTTCAATGTCAGGAAGTGAGTGTGGGAAGAGGAGGAGTAGTTATTCGAGCGAAAAACGAGTTTACGCTAATAACAATGGTGGTGGTGGTGGTGATAGTGATGGTACAACAGCTACTGATAGAAGTAAACTCGTGTTTTTCGATAGGAGGAAGCCATTTGAGCTTGAGGAATTGTTAAGAGCATCAGCTGAGATGCTTGGTAAAGGGTGTTTAGGTACTGTTTATAAGGCAGTTCTTGATGATGGGATTACAGTTGCTGTAAAAAGATTGAAAGATGCAAATCCATGTCCAAGAAAGGAGTTTGAACAGTATATGGATGTTATTGGAAAGCTTAAGCATCCAAATATGGTGAAACTTAGAGCTTACTATTATGCCAAGGAAGAAAAATTGCTTGTTTATGACTACTTGCCTAATGGGAGTTTGCATTCACTTCTTCATGGTAAACATTAGTAAATGTTCATGTCAAAGATTAAAGATTGTTTTGTAATTCAAGATTGTCTCTTTTGGGGGTTGTTAAGGTCTATATTGCTCGGACTCTTCAAAATGTCGATGGGGTGTGTCGGATCCTCCAAAAATAGTGCATTTTTGGAGAATTCTGACGTTGTAATTCAAGATTGTCTTTTTTGGGGGTTGGTAAGGGTTATAATCCTTGGACTTTTCAAAAATATCGATGGATGTGTGTCAGATTCTCCAAAAATCTCTAGAAATAGTGCATTTTTGGAGAAACTTACACGGGTATGACATGTTTTGTAATTCAAGATTGTCTTTTTTGGGGTTGGTAAGGGTTATATTGCTCGGACTTCTCATAAATGTTGGCAGGTACATGTCGGATCCTCTCGAAATCTCCAGAAATAGTGTATCTATGGAGGATCTGATGCGGGTATGGCAACATTTTTGGAGAGTCCAAGCAAGTTGTAGGTAAGATACTAATATTGATGGGATTTTTTTTTCTTGATTCTAATAGGAAACAGAGGACCAGGGAGAATTCCATTGGATTGGACAACAAGGATTAGCTTGGTGCTAGGGGTAGCTAGAGGGCTTGCTCACATTCATGAAGAGTATGCAGATTCAAGAATCCCACATGGGAATGTGAAATCATCTAATGTGTTGCTTGACAAAAATGGTGTGGCTTGTATATCTGATTTTGGGTTGTCATTGCTTTTGAATCCCGTTCATGCCATAGCTAGATTAGGAGGATACCAAGCACCCGAACAATCTGAAATCAAGAGGCTATCTCAAAAATCTGATGTTTATAGCTTTGGAGTACTGTTATTAGAAGTTCTCACTGGTAGAGCTCCTTCAGAGTACCCTTCACCGACTAGGCCTCGCGATGAGGAGGAAGAATTGCCAGTGGATTTGCCTAAATGGGTTCGATCAGTAGTGAGGGACGAGTGGACTGCTGAAGTGTTTGATCAAGAACTGTTGAGGTACAAAAACATTGAGGAGGAATTGGTGTCAATGCTACATGTAGCCATGGCATGTGTAGTGCCACTACCTGAAAAAAGGCCTACTATGGTTGAAGTTGTTAAGTTGATTGAGGAGATTAGAGTTGAACAATCTCCATTAGGTGAAGATTATGACGAATCGCGCAATTCTCTTTCCCCCTCCCTTGCCACCACTGAAGATGGACTCCCCGGTTACTAATTTTCGATCATCGTGGCATTGATGTTTCATAGTCCTAGTAGTATATGTTCAAATTTGCAGCATCTTACTGCAAATTGGGAAGTTCAAAAGCTATGGACTTATGTTTAGTAGTTATTTGATTGCTTTGTGTTATTCCAAATTACTGCACTTTTGGAAAATCTGATGATCCAACAAGCATATAAGAAGTGCAGCAATCAGTCCATTATGTATTTTTTTTAATGTAATGTAATGTTAATTCTTTGTATTTAATTCATTTTCAAGATTTGTGTTCTAAGGCAAAACCTCACTCTACTAGCTCCTTGTTGCTTGACTTTCGAAAAGTGAAACGTGACAAGTAAAAGTAAATGAAGGGAAGGAGTAACTTATAGCGCGCTATTCGCAACTCAGTCCAAATATGACACTAGACACTCAATCAACTTTGTTTTTTGGTTTTTCGTTTGGTGTCCGTTTTGGTTTGACTAATTCAGATTCTTATCAGAAAGTCCTATTATGAAGAGCAACATGTTCCTTACCAAAAGCGACTCCATTTTCAACGTTTGACCTTCGAAACTTGTTAAAATTTTCTGCTATCTTTTATTTTGACATTTAAACTAGAACTTGTTCCTATTGAACGCGTACACTATACAAAACTTGTAATTCTCAATGAATTAAGTATTTATAAAATTCCTTTTTGACTGTCCAAAATAATAATAATAATGACTTGATTATCAATTTTTAGACTGTCAAGTATTCATCACTGATGGGAAAAAGCAAAGCAAATTGATGGGCTGTCAAAAGACACTACCTCTTTTTTTTAACAGACTTTACATTATTTTCACTTTGGCGTGATTTGCGCAATTTCACTCTTGCCACTTTTGGTGTTTAATGAGTCAACTCACAAATTTGAGACATACTTTGAATCTATATTGTTCAAACTTTATAAAAATATTAATGTATATATGTCAATTTTTTCAACAATAAAATATTTTTGACAAATTTAATATGGGTATGATAACACTTTTAAAATGTTCTAACAACATAGCATTAACTGATTTTACGGACTTGTAAAAAAAAAAGCATTGTGTGTTGAGTCCAATGTTATTTAGTCTTTTCGGAAAATACATTATGAGTGTCAAATTCTTCACCGCTATATATTTTATTTTAAGGATTCAATTGGAATATAATAATATCTGTAAAGAATTTGAGCAGCATAGACGATTACCAGAGTGATCGGGTGAAAGTGGTTAAAAGAAAAGGTAACACATCCAATTCGATCCATTAGACAAGGGTTGGATAATAGATCATATAAAAATAATTGAATATAGATAATTTACTAAAGAATTGGACATTTGTCATATTATCGATATCCAATTTTATTTTATTTTTCGCGAGTTTTTACTTTCTAAACTAAGTTTATTTTAATTTTTAGCTTATGATATGAATTTATATTATCGGTCAATTAACCATTTTAATTCATATTAAATTTTAGTGAATCAAATGGTTTGTTTATTTTTGTTTGATCCGTCTATATTCAATCTGATTCACTCATTTATTGCTCTACTCATACCAATCAAAAATGAATAGAGTGAATTTATGACAGTGATATTTTGTGTTCCTTTTGTGGACCATATATTATATGGGTTTAAAAAATAGTACATTTAGCCTTAGTTTGGGGTTTATAATATAGAAAAACAAGAGACATAATCCGATAGACTTTTGTAGATGTTATACCTAACTTATGACAACATGTACTCTTCTTATGACATAGTCCGAGACGAATTCATAATTTAAATATGTATGTATACTTAATGAATTTCATAGTATATATGTGTATTTAGGTAAAAATTATTGAGTTTACGTGATCGGCATGTTATATTGTTGATCCAGCCCTGGACAACATCAAGAAGAGTAGAATTCTAACCCTTATGTTCTAATTTATGCGGCAATGTATCTTTATTAGTTAATCTTTAAAAAGATGATACATTGAAACATTTGTACACTACTCATTTTACCCTTCGCGTGAAGCTTTCCAAGCCTACTTTTTATATAAACTTTGTGTCGAGTTAAACTATGTTACGTAAATTGAAACAACGAGAGTATAAGATTTCAATGTAAAGATTTTATAACCATAGAAATATTAATGACATTTAAAATCATAAGTTTTAAAAGTTCTATAGCAACATAAATGCTATGATATACTTCAGACCACACATTTCAAAAAATTCATTTCTTTTTTAAACTCTATACTAATTTTAAACGTTACATAAATTGAAACGGAAACAACTTTACCAATGTAAGTAATTCTTTAACAATATTAATTGTAGCAAGAGTCAGACGACAAGAGGGGTATGACGTAGACAACCTATCCTAATGCAAGTAGTAGTAGTAGTTTCCTCCGCTTGAATCTGTGACTTATAAGTCACAGCGAAAACAACTTTACCATTGCTCCATGACTCCAAAGGGAAAAGGAAAGAAATGAAAAAGAGGACCAAAACTAGAAAGTATTTTGACTTGCATATCTTCAAAGATCCCAAAATCTGTGTATATTTAAGACAATGCAAACTAAGTCCCTTCCAAGTTCTAAGACAGCAAAAAAAAAAAAAAAAGGTTTTCCTTCTTTCCAAGAACATTAACTTATCTCACTACACATGTTTATAATCCAAACTATAACACTAGTCCAGTAAAAAAAAAAAACCTAAACTACAACATACAGTTCATCAGTTCCATGAACTAGATGGTATCTTTATCTCTGTAATAATCTGTTTGAAGTTGGATCGAATTATCGTCTGAGTATAAAGTCGTGGGGAGATCATCATTCAACTCAGAAAACTCCATGGTCATTGAAGCCTCAATGCTGCTCTCCCTAAATCTCTTTTATCTTTAAAGATGAAGGTAAATGCCACACATCTCAAGAGAACGCTAGCTAACACGTCCTGTCTGATCGATCAGTGTACCCACCTGCTCTCCACATAACGCTCTTGATATATTTCCAGGCCCATGAAGATTGAAAATAACAACTGCAAGAAAAGCAAAGCGTGTCAAGAAAGGAACTAGACACACTTCCATGAAGTATATCGATGAAAGATGGATATTAGAGGCAACATTCTATAAGATAGTGTCTGGCAATGTAAAGAGCACGCTCAGAAAATACGGACCAGGAATTGCATTCTCCTCGCATAATGTAACAGCCATTAGGTCCAATGGGGAATCTCCTCCGGAAACCAGCTCCCTGAAGGGAATATGCTCAGCAACAACATTATTATTTCGGGAGTCACAGACATAAACACCGTCTACATTTGTAGCCTTGAGTACGGCATCAGCATGAACTGAAAAGGAAAAGTTCGAATCATTAACCACTCGTCGAGAATAAAAAACAGACATTTCGAGTGTAACATTACGTACTTTCAGAAGCTCTGAGTGCTGCAACTGTATCCGTAGAGAAGAGTGGATTCCCTGTGCCAGCTCCAATACCACCAAAGATCACAACTCTACCTTTTTCAAGATGCCGCATAGCTCGTTGCCTGCTGTATGGCTCAGTAAGCTCGGGCATGTTAAATGCACTTTGCACACGAGTTTGCACACCAACCTTCTCTAATGCCGACTGCAGCAGTATGGAGTTCATCAGAGTTGCCATCATTCTGCAAGATTAGGAAATAAGAGGCACAATTAGTTCATTAAAGAAGAATGGAAAATATCATTATTAAGTCTGGAAGTGAGGCAAACTATCTCACATTAGTGAACTAGACCATTAGTCAACACCAGTGGCGTCACATTTTAAAATGATAACAGGTACATAAGACATTACAATATCATATTAAGAAAGATATCGAAAATTAAACACAGTTTACGTATATTACTACAACTCTTCTTAATCAATTTCCTTGGCAAGAAAGAAGATGATAGCACAACCACAAAAGAGAAACATCACTCCATGAACATTTGTCGTCGTTCTTTACAAGTGTAACTCTTGGACTATTAGGCTCAACCTTTTGTTAAGCTCCAAGAGGTCAGTGGTTCAAACCTAGACAACATCTTTTTACAGATGAGGCGTGAAAAATTTAAAATACAAAATGAAGTGGCTTGCCTTCGAACTCGCGAGCTTTACTTGAAAGCAGTGGCACCTGACCAGTAGAGCAACACAGCATGTTGTGTCAAGCAGTGTCATGTCAATGAATATACCCTCATTTATGTTTCTGCCATTTAATTATATAATACTCCCTCTGTCCCTAATTACTTGTCCACATTTCCTTTTTTAGTTGTCCCTAATTACTTGTCTATTTTGACAAATCAAGTAAGGACAAATTTTTTTACCTATTATACCCTAAATTAATTACTTTGAAAAAGGTAGAACTTATTGAAAATATTAAGTTTTAAATTCATCCACTTCATAATTAATAAGGGTAAAATGGTAAACTCACTATGTCAATTATTGATTTCTTAATAGGTGTGTCAATTCAAAAGTGGACAAGTAATTAGGGACAGAGGGAGTACATATTTAGTATAAAAAATTGACAAAGAGGTGTCACATGACACCGCTTGTCCTAGAATAAATCTGCCCTGTTCAACACATACTTAAGACATGATTGTGTGAAACAATTTTTTTATCTTTATGAAAGGGTAAAGTTTGTGTGAAATAATCTAGCTTATGCTTCTAATAATTGAATCAAAATGAGAAAGAGATTGACCGCAACTCTAGATCCCCCTGCCTTCTCCACATCCGCCCCCTCCCCCAAACCCCCATTAAACCTCACTCAAACTATACAAACCACATTCCAATCCCCTCCACTCTCCTTGTGCAACTTGCCACCATGTCCTGCAAACCACCATTCACTACCCCAAGCAAACCATTGGGTTAGCAGCCGTCGGTATGGTATTGAGATGAGGCTAAAAGGTGACTTAGTGAGTATGTTGAGGGGCAGAAGAAGGGAAGCATGGTACAAGGGTCAAGGACAGAGTAGCAGAAAAGCAGGTAAAGATTATCAAAGCTAGTTGACATTTTAAATCAAATTTTGGGGCTGGAATCATATGATTTAATCCAACTTCATTTTCTCAAAGTTAAAAGTAGCCTTGGTTCTTCCACTAGCCATTAGGGGCAGACCCATGTATAACCTGCCGGGTATTCGAGCACCCATTAACCCGATGTAAATTATGTATTGTTATATAGGAACTTATTATCAGATAGATGTATTAAACATCAGCACCCAGTGATAAAAAACCCTTGACTTGAAGTC